TTTATGTCTTACATTTTATGTCAATAGTCGCAGCTGTTCATAATGGAAAAACTAACCAATCATAAACGATCACCATGTAAAAAATAATAATAAATTATCCTTTTCTTTGCGTTTTGTGTAAAAGTTATTTGCAGAAATGCCTCGTTAGTTACAAATTGTATATTCATTTCAAGTCGATTACTTAAATTACCGTGTTTTTTAATTTTTTTTAAATAATGATCTTTATAACCATTAATGCCATTATTAATTTATTTCATATGCTTTCACAAAAAGGCTTGTCATTTCCAAAACTTCCAGTTAGTTATCTGTCGGCAAATTTTAGTGAATAATTTCATCTTGCATCTGTGGACTTCTTTAATTGTTGGAGACAATCTTCATGCATTCGTAATGTTTATTCGTTTAAAGACAGGTTGTATGTTACAATAAATTAATCCCAATAAACCCAGTTTACTAAGGCACATTACACATACGTAAATAATGAAATATCACACACTGTTCACTCATTCAACTATATACAAGAAAATATCAAAAATGCATGTTCTATACACAGGAGAATACATACACAAGGTCTGCTTGATGGTTGAGATAGTTACGTATTTCCCACTGAGTAAGCCAGATTCTACTTTTTATTCCATTTGATGATGGAAGAGCTTAGGCTCATTAATAAATCTTCGCATTTAAATTCACAATCATTAAGACGAGCTATCTTAGGTAAACCGACAGTCTGTATTCCAATTCAGTTTACGGCTGGATGACAAAGTTCGTCCGATTTCAACGAGATCCCCATAAAGACTGATGCCTTGTATCAAATATATTCACTTACAACATTATAACGATAAACTATTTGATACAAACAGAAAACGTTCAAATATGCAAATAAAATTACATGCGCAAAAATCACAAAAGCTTAAAATCGTAGCATAGAATTTGGCAAGTATTTCATTTTAACCGTTTTCGCTTAAATAAAATGCAGTTATTTGAAAATGAATGTAAACTATAATTTGGAAAAAAATACATATTTTCGTATTAACATTTCTTGATAATTTAGACTATTCTGGGGGAAGCATATTGCAGTCAAATATTCTACGTACATTTGACAAGTAAAACTGAAATATATACATACATATATATATATATATATATGTGTGTGTGTGTGTGTGTGTGTGTGTGTGTGTGTGTGTGTGTGTGTGTGTGTGTGTAAAACTGAATATATATATATGTGTGTGTGTCTGTCTGTGTGTGTTGTGTAAAAGAGTTCTCTATTTATTTCAAAGTTTAACTTCCTTGGACTGAAAACTACAATTTTCCCCATACTTACATTAGTACATGCGTGTATACTTAAACACATACGCACTATTTATACAAATATTTACTTATACGCTATAAGCACACACAGATTGAGATTGATAAAATTAGCCAGCACTCGAATCATTTTGAAAATCAAAATTATAATACTTAATTTCATTATTAAAATACAATCTACTTCGACAATATTGATACTATACAATATATCAAAAGTAAACGTGCACAACTACATAAATAAACTGGGGAAAAGAAAAGAAAACTGTCAAGGAACTTAATTCAACGCTACATTAAAGGTACTAATAAGGTACTAGTCAAGAGTATACCTACCAATGACACAGACGTTGTTTCCTACATAACCAAATAGAGGTTACCTACAGTAGAATTTCACTGAACTATTATGAGATAATATAAGTGAATCCTAAGTGAATGTCTCCTATTTTGGCCCTGTGCCAGAGTAAACCTGTGCTTAGTAAATACGTATGTAGACAACATCATCAGCCTGAAAAACCATTCATTCGTCATACATATGTTCATGTATAAACTGTCGTGCCAGAATATGCATAAACTAAACATACATCCATGTTATGATGAGCCTTGTCAAGTATAAGACATTTTTACAATTATAACTGATACATAAACGCATACAAGAATATATTTATAGAATCTAAACATACGACTGCATTCACATTCACCCACACAAATTCATATATAAAAAGAATCATTTATGCATATAAATAGACGACATCTATTTATATAGACATTAGCTCACGTACTGATGCGTTTGAAAATATGGTTTAATTTTGTAAAGTATTCAACCTCGAATCGCTTATAAACGTCCCTCTTTCACTATGGTTCTATAATTTCGCCGTCATTTTGTTTGTCTGTCTCATGAAACAATCACTTTCTAAAACAATTGATAATTTAACATTTTTTTTTATTGATTTATACAATTATTCTTGATTTCAACATTTTTTAAAGAAAAATAATCATATACACTCCAATCG